GTTTTGTGGTTGCTTTTGAAGCCAGTTTGGGTGCAACAGGGGAGTGCTGGGATTTGTGAAAGGAGTAGATGCATGTGGAAGAGAAGCTGACTTTCCTCTTCACCCTTATCCTGGGGAAGAGTTACTGTGTGATTATTACGTTTTGTGGCTATTCTGGTTTTGAATCGGCATCACTGAACTCTATTCATCACTGAATACTATCAAGTCAGAGAGGAACCAAGGAGATTCATAATAGAGTACTTAGTGTCTTGAAGTAGATCAAGTTGTGGTCATGGCTTCCTGGAGTGCTGGCCTCAGCTAAGAGTGTTCCGGTCTGTTTTGTTTTGTGAACTACCTCTTGGCAGCCTTAAACCAGCTACTGCATTTATTTCAAGAGCACTTCTTTAATGCCAGAAAACTGCAAAACAGATTCTTTTGTCCATTGATAATTGTCCCCAGCAGCTCAGAGCTGGGGTGTCTGCCAGTGCCCTGGAAGAATGTTTACCTGCTGCACTGTCAAGATAGTACAGTGAGAAAAGTTTATATTGCAACATACCTTTGTCTCTTCTGAGCTGTGAAACAAACACAGTCTGGTGGTGGACAGTGATCAGTAAAGGCAAATGTTTAATCCTCTCTTGTTTGCTTTAAGATTAAATAATTCCTGTCTTGGCATCTGTGTCAGCAGCTGTCCACCAAGGAGCCTGCAAGCCTGCCCCAAACACTGCAAGCTCCTTTATCTTCCAAGTGCTCCTGATGAGGAATGAGCTGTAGGTCAAAAAGTTGAAAAAAAGAGCCCTGTGTGCAGGAGAGAAGGGGATGGACAGATCTTGAAGTGTGTGAAATAAAAAGAGGTCAGACAAGCCTGTGCTTCCAGGTGTTTTTTTGCATCCTTACCTCACCAGAATGATCACCTGTTATTTAGAGTTGCAAAAACAAGGGAGGCTTGTGGTGACCTCAGTGCTAAGCATATTGCCACCTGGAGCATTCTAAGGTGGTTACCCTAGGTTTTGTGGTCAGAGGCTGGGGCAAAATGCAGGATGGGGGAGTGAGGAAGGTGTTGTCCAGTTGGGTAGGGAGGGAAAAAGTGCATTTTTGTTTGGGTAACTGAAAAGGTCTGGCCTGTTCCTCCTTTCCTCTGCTGTCTGGCACCAGTACTGCTCAGCATCCCCATGTAAGTGCATGTCCCTGCGGTTGGGCTTTGCAGGCTGGCTCTGTTAGAGCCTTCTGCTGCCTGCCCGACCCCAGCTGGCCATGCTCACCAGCATTTAGGGGTGACGTGCTGCTGGTGGCCCTGTGAGCCTGCAAGGGGATCTGCTGTGAAACTGCCTGTTGTGAGGGGTGCTGGGGAGGAAGCTGCTGTGGAGATGGGAGTTCACTGTCTCGTACCCTGCCACTATGCAATGGTAGATCTCAAAAGAGACTCTAGGAGGAGGAAGGTTTCTGGGGGTACTTTATAAAGCCTGGGAAAAATAAGGTGGTGGGAATGTGGCATAGTTTTACTCCTGGTAACCTCTCCTTCCAGAAGCCTGCTTTTGAAAAGCATGCTTAAGTATCTCATGTTGAGATCTATTGTGAGACTATCACTTGATGGGAGGTCAGAGGTAGGGAAAGGGCTATGATACTACTCTGCAGCTCCAGCTTCCCCTCTGCTACATGACAAAGGTCCCATCACAGGCTGACCAGCTGCAACCTGCACAGAGAGGAAGGCTGGGAAACTGCAAATGATGGGATGTGCTGCTTTAGGTAGCTGAGGTTACAGGCCCGCACCAGCAAGTATGGTACTTATCAGAGGATGATGATCAGTATGACAGGGATCCATCTCTCCTGCTGTGTTATCTAGCAGGAGACAGAGGCTCACTGTAGGGAAGCCATCCCCTGATTTAGGAGCATAACTAAGCTGGTCCCTCTGGTATCAATGAGAAGACCTGAATTAGCAGTTCATCCCTTTAATCCCCTTTGAGAGCGCTGAGCTTTCTCATTCAGTGCAAGGAAAGGCTCATTTAGGTTTGTCATCCTCTCTGCTTTATAAACTTGGCTTTTATGAAACTAGGTTTCTCTATTTGGGGCTGCCATGCCTGCTTCTTGAGCATGCATCTCATCTTAGGGGGCACTGGGGCACATCACAGCTCTGGAGCTGGATGCACACCACTGTGCTCACAGAGTCCCTCATTGTCAGTGCAGTCAGGAGCTAGCAGGGAGCAGCTGGCTATGCCATGATAGCTTCTCCACAGCTAAATTGCAGCCCAGCGGAGCTCATCCAAGCAGCAGTGGCAGTTTCTTAGGCCAGGACCTCATAATTTGCATTTGCATGTATCTATTCACAATCAGTTCTCTGTGGGGAGGTTTCTATGGCAGAGCAACCAAGTGCACATGGAGGAATAAACACAGTCCCACAGCTGCTCAGCTGAACCAGTCTGTTTCAAGCCGTGCTTTATCTCCAGCTCCTGGAGTTGCCAACTGGCAGCCAGGCATCGTCAGGGATTAGTACAGAATTCCCTTGCAAGGGGCTGAATGTCTCATCTCCATTCTGCTGATTAGCACAGCACAGCTCAGACCAAAAGCACAACTTTCAGCACGGCTGAAACAGGCTGCACAGATCCTCCCTGGGGCTGAGTCAGCAGCTCTGCAGGGAAGAGCTGTCAGTGGTGGGCTGCAAGCTGGGGGTCTTGCCTCATTTCAGGAGGTTGCCACTGTTATGGAGAAGCTGTGAAGGTGCCTTGATGTAGAGCTTTACAGAGACAGTGCTCAGTCAAGTACCAAATGCTCAGCACCCCTGCTCCCTCTTTCTAGATATGCCACTGATTCACCAGGTGGCTCCAAGCCTTCATTTAAAATGCTTCATGGCTGCATTTTCTTCTTGGCACAGAGTGCTGCTGTGCTCAGGCTTTAAGAGTTTAAGCAGATCTTGCTGACGTTTGAAATGCTTTTAATTTCTGGTGAAAGCTATTTTGGAAGGAAAAAAGAAAAAAATAGTGTAATCTTTTCCACAGTAGGGCAGGAAACTGAGGACTGAGCCCAAAGAGTGGTAGTGAATGGACTTAAATACAGTTGATGGCTGGTCACAAGTGGTGTTCCCCGGCGCTCAGTATTTGCGGCAGTTCTGTTTAATATCTTTATCAATGATCTGGACAAGGGGATCAAGCACACTCTCAGTAAGTTTAAAGAGGACACCAAGTTGGGCAGCAGTGTTAATCCGCTGGAGGGCAGGAAGGCTCTGCAGAGGGATCTGGACAGCCTAGGTCGATGGGCTGAGGCCAGTTGTGTGAGGTTCAACAAGTGTCAGTGCTGGGTCCTGCACTGGGGTCAAAAGACCCCATGCAATGCTACAGTTTTGGGGAAGAGCGGCTGGAAAGCTGCTCAGTGGAAAAGGACCTGGGGGTGTTAAGTTGGCATCTGCCAGAGCATGAGCCAGCGTGTGGCCAGCTGGACAAGGCAGCCAATGGCACTGTGGCTTGAATCAGAAATAGTGTGGCCAGCAGGACTAGGGAGGTGATCATCCCCCTGTACTTGGCACTGGTGAGGCTGCACCTCAAACACTGTGCTCAGTTCTTGTCACTACAAGACAGACATTGAGGTGCTGGAGACTGCCCAAAGAACAGCAATGAAACTGGTGAAGGGTCTAGAGAACAAGACCTATGAGGAACAGCTGAGGAAAGTGGGGCTGTTTAGCTTGCCAAAAAGGAGGCTCAGGAGAGAAATTATTGCTCTCTGCAACTACCTGAAAGAAGGCTGTAGTGATAGGGGTGGTGGTCTCTTCTCCTAAGTAACAAGAAATAAGAGGAAATGTGCCAAGCTACGTTTAAATTGGTTATTACAAAAACTTTCTTCCCCTAAAAGGTTGTCAAGCATTGGAACAGGCTGCCCAGGGAAGTGGCTGAGTCACCATCCCTGGAGGTATTTAAAAGACGTGTAGATGTGGCACTTAGTGACATGATTCAGTGGTGGACTTGGTAGTGTTGGGTTTAACAGTTGACTCAATGATCTTCAAGGTCTTTTCCAACCAGAACAATTCTGTAATTCTGTAACATACCACACTGAGAAGGGAAAAGTGAGTTCTGAGAAGAGGCAGCTGGTGACCTCTGGAAACAGCATGGCTTTTCCCTCAGTAATGGGAATGGCCACTTTATCAGCTCTGGTTTTCCCTTTGCGAAACAACCGCATGTTCCCCAAACAGTCTTCGCCACAGAAATGACTTACTCACTTCTAGATTCACTAGAAGGGCTAAAAAGTGGGTTTGGGTGACAACTGTTGAGGGGAGAACATGCTCGCTTCCCACCCTGGATTGTGTGGGGTTTGGCTACATTTGCATGCCCTCTTCCCCATCCTCCTGGCCTAACATCATATTCTGGCTATCTCAGAGCCTTTTCTCTTCCTCCTCCACTGGAATGGGGCAGCTGGCACCTGGCCCTAGCTATATTTGATTTACCCTCTTACATCTTCTGCTTCTTTTGGTCAGCTGGACAGACTCTACAACACTTCGTTTTTCAAGTTAACATGAAGGACATGAGGTCCTCCTCCAGTGACTGGAGTGCGAACAGGACTGGCTCTAGCATTTGCAGTGTCAAGCTGTAATACTCAGTACAGTGTCTCTAAACCCAGCTTTCTTCCTCAGGAGACTGGATTTACTGGGGCTTTTGGTAGTTGATCCTGTCTGATACTATCCAGTGCCCTCACACTGTTGGTCCAAAGGGGATAAGTCACTTGAAAAATATCATTGATTTTCTTCCTGCAGAATCTGTAAAATCAGCAATGAGCATGAAAGGTGTGTCTATTTCATGTGGATTTGTGTGGCTTAGTATATGAGAGTTGCTTACATGTATTGAGACTCCCAAAGAGAATCAGCAGAGGTAGGCAAAGTTACCATTGTTAATTTAGGAGGGCCAGGATTTACATGTTTGTTGTTTGGTTGTTGGGGTTTTTTTTAATATGCCTAATTTCTTTAACTTTTCACTCTTTCGGAAACATACCTGCTCTCTGAATTCCTGTGGGGACAGATAACTGAGAGGACTTGACTTACCAGCTGAAGTGTGATCCATTTATTCGTATCAGCACCTTGCAACACTTAAGGGTGGCAGCCTACCGCAAATGAATAGTGATGTTTCACTTTTGTTAGAGGGATGAACCACTCTTACCAATGTGAATGGCACTTGCTGCTCCTCTCCCACACTGCTCAGCACCGTATGAGGACTGCTGGTCTGTATTCTTGCAGTCTGGGCTGCTGTGAACAACCCAAATACTCAGACTCCGTAGTGCTTCACGCTCATGTCCAAGAGAACTGTTTATTATGTTTACATAGAGCATGAGCAGCGTGGAAAACACTGGAAATACTGCATTGGTGGTTTAGGGTTTGGACAGCATTGGAAATGGCGATGCAGCTGCTCACATCGTGTCTGAGGTACGCAGTATGCCACGAGGAGCCAAAGCTTTGTGCATTCATTTGAGAAGTGCCCACCTCTGGCATATTCACTGCTTGCTCCTCTGGTGCCACAGTTATGCACTTAGCTGTCTGCTTTTCCTCCATTTCACTTGGAACTTGTAATTTTAGTACAAAAGCACAGGTTTTGAAACCAGTCCTGCTAATCCACGAGACTGCTCCCACTCCCTCTCCTCCCTCCTCCTCCCATCCCATCCCAACTCATCCCATCCCCCATACTCCCACCAACACATACCTCCTTCCCCTCCCTTTCACCCCGGTCACACAGCAAATATCCTGATGCTGCAATTCCAAGCCATGTGTCCGCCCCAGCCTATGCGATCCAATGGTCTCTGACCAAGTCCCTTTGTTCAGAGGTTAATACAAAACACACAATAGGAAAAAAACAAAACAAAAGGAGCCAGACACAAGAGGGAGACACACTGCTGGGCTCTAGCTCTAGCCTCTCAGCTCTTCACCTAAGCTCCACAGCAGCTAGGCTCTTGGGCTACCTCCTTTCAAACTCAAGGCTGCAGGTCTCAAGGTTTCCAGGGTGCATAGGAAAAGGAAGAAAGGAAGTAAACTACAAGCCTGTTTCTGTTTTAGGTTCTCCCCATCCATATCCCTCAACCCAATGGCTGCTGGAGGATATTCTTGACTCCGACAGGTCTTTTCCCATCTTCCAGTGAGACCCTGCCTGGGGACCAGGTTCACTGTAAGTCATTGTTTCCTCTCTGGAACATGGGCAATGGGTTTTGCAGTGAGGGGAGGGAGTGGAGGACGTTGTGGGGGGATGACAGGCTTTTGTCTCACAGCAGGTGGGGGGGACATTTCAGGGAAGGTGAGAGGAAAGAGCCAAAGGAAGCTGGTAAAGCTGGCCCTCTGCTTGGTGTTTGCACTCAAGACTTCTTGGGGCAGCTTCAGTGTGCCAGTGCCGGCCTGTTGCCCAGTCACCTCTTGCAACCCTGCTGAGAAAAACCACGTGGCATGGTGCTTCCGGCTGCTTCATCCTCTGGCTGGCTGCCCTCATGCCCGCTGGAGATCTCTGAGTCGCAGTCAAGCGCCTCGTAGATGGTAGGCAGTGTGGTCTGCTGGCTGAGGCGCTTGCGCAGGCCCACAAGCAATGGCTGCGGCATGGATGAGACATCCACATTGTTGCCAAGGTCAACCCAGGCTAGGCAAGGAAATTTGTTCATGTCCTTCATGGTATCAGTCAGCTCCTTCATGGTCGCCCGCGTCAGTCGGTTGCCATTGAGGGAAAGATGAGTGAGCTTGGGTAGTGCCCAGAGGAAGGGCAGCAGCAGGCGCACCATGTCATCATTCAGCTCGGTGAAGCTCAGATCCACAGAGGTGAGGTGGTCCCCGTTGTTCTGTAGGTAGTAGGCCATGCGGTGGACATCCCGCATGGTCAGGGGGATCCCTGACAAATCCATGGAGTCCTGGCTCACTTTCTTCTGCAGGCTGGTCTTCAGGCTAATGGTGGAAAGGGGGAGAGACAGAGAGATCATTAAGGAGAACACTCTCATCCATCTCTCACCCAAGGGAGAGAGTACTTGGGACAGGGGGGATCTCATTAAGAACATGGGCTTGACAATTAAGCAAAGGGTTAATGGAGTTCATTGGAGAAAGAGGTGCAAGGTTTGTATCGTGCATCAGGGCAGACTGTGTCCTGGGGCTCTCCTGTATATTCTCAGCACTTAACACAAACTTTGCCAGAACTGGCTAAACACAGGCTCTCAAGAGCTTCCCACTGGCGCATTTCAATGGGCATGTATGCGCATGTACAGATGCTCATGCATAGAAAGCAGAAATAACCAAGGCAAGCAAACTTTCGAGGTGCATTGGTTTGCACTGTGTGGGGGCTGTTTGTGCACCACCTCTCCAGGTAAATGCCAAAGTCTATGGCAAACAGACTGTGCTGCAGGGCTACTGTAGAGGACAGCAGTGTTAACAGGCTGAGAAATGGGTATTTTATCAGGAAAACAATCTATAGGCAAACTGCACTCCAGGAGTGGATTTACTGTATGTCCCTTTAAAAGCCTTCCTAAACAGCACTTAGTCATTAAGCAGCACCAGTGGCTGCCTGTTTGGGTCTCTGTGGTCAGCAAATCATCTGGGATCTGCTGCAGCTGTGAGGACATAGGGGTGCTAAAAGAAATCTAGAGAGAGGGGTTTAGCCATTTCTTCTGTTGTCCGCCTGGCAAGTGGAGTGAGGATGAGGTAGGTAAGATGTGCACGAGGCAAAGGTGTGCTGTGGGGCTGTGTACGCAAGGGGAGTGGGATTTGGAGTTTTATGATGAACTGTGGGATTGTGAGAGTGCTGTGGAAAGTGGAAGCTGTGGGGCCATAGGAGCTGGTGGGGATATGCTGCAGGAGAATCTAATGTGTTTGTGTAAAATGATATTAGTTTTGCTCTCTTTTCAGGCAGATCTAGCTTTAAGGTTATGGGAGCCTTATTAAGACCCTCCATTAATCAGTGTCACTAATCATGTGCTCAGTGGGGTTTGTAAGTGCCTTGTTGAGCTTGGGAGGAGCAGGGTGGGTTAAGAATTAACCACCAATTCGAAGGTCCCCACTCTTCCTATCTGGCTCTTCGTAGTGTCCTGCACACCCGTGGCACAGCCAGTCCCTGAAAGCAATGGGTACATGGGGACATGCAATTTCCTCGGAGGAGGCTGCAGCACCGCAGGAGCTCCTGTGGCAGGTGAGAATGTCCCTACAAGCCCTAGTGTTGCCAGGCCCTTCTGTAGTTGTGAGAGGGTGTGACAATGCTTCTATAGCTTTGCTTTACACATGCAGTTCATGGCATCCTGCAAATCTGAGTCCTTAATAATCCCCTATGAGCATGTCATGCAAGTGAGTAAATGTGCATCAGTGCAGGCAACAGCCCTTTGTGGACACATTCAACAATGGCAAACCTGTAGCTGTGCTTCCTTGCAGGAATGTGAGGTCAAAGACCTCATGGCCTGTCCTGTCAATTCTCAAGCCAAAAACTACCTATCCTGGGTTCAGCAGCACTTTATTCAGGCTGCTTCTGTATGTCCTTATGCTTCTCACAGGAATTCACTGTGTAAGGCTCATGCTGTATCTGCAAACTTTCATTTGAGTTAATGAGTTTTAATTGTAGAGAGGTAGTAACAATAGGAAATAACTTGCATTCAGGCCTAAAGGTTTAAAAGAGCCTGATGCATTACTTACTAAATGTTTACACTTTACACAACCCAGACTACTTCTCAGTAAATCACAGGAGGGGCAAGGGGAGCAGTGCTTGTCTGTACTGTACAGCAGAGATTGATATGCTGGTGAAATATTAATCTGAAATCACTGAGATTAGTTCTTCAAAGGGCCTTCATTTGGAGATGGTACTTGATACCTCTCCAGTATCAGGGCCCCAGAGACAGGATTGTGAAGAACATTGTTTGTTGCAGCAGCACAGTTCTCTTAGCTGCTGCCATAACAGCAGGAGTTGTGAACTGTGCATCCTGCAGTCTGGAAGGTACTATACTAGCCTCCCTGTTCCTGCTAAATCAAGGGATGCTTGATACCAGCCTAGGCTGCCTTGGAGCTGTATTTGTCAACTCTCCTGGTAAATAAATGTGCGCTTTTTTGGTATAGTTTGTCACCAGGGACTAGTGGTGGTGTGGCACAGTCTACCACAAAAGAGGATTCAAACTGTATAAATTCTGTCAGGGACTGTCCTCAGAGCTGGAAGTCTTTAGTCTCCCCTGGAACAATGTTATCCCTTTAGCTGTTCTAGGTGTTTTATCTGGGTGTTTGATGCACAGTACTTCTAGCAAAACCAAACATCAAATGTGGAGATGTGCATTCATACTGGTGAGATTAAGCAGGGAGAAATGAATCTTGATGTAAGCCTGACTGCACAGGGGAAGTAGTCCCCTCTATCCAGTAGGGGCTGGTGTGCAGAAGGTGAGATGGAAGCCTTCTCTTGCCTGTAGAGTAAGACTTTTTGGAGGTCTGGGGGAATACAAGATAACAAGCACACAGGCAAGCCTGCAATGACTTCAGTGCCTGTTTTGTGCAAACACAGCCTATGGCTCCTGGAATTTCTCTTCCCCAGTGCTATCAACCAATGGCAGATCCTGGCTGGGGGGAGCACACAAAGGAGACATAAACTAAGGGGTCCTCCAGCCCCAAGCCTTGTCTGAATCTGTGCAAAGCCTCATCTAAACTTCCTATTGCTAAGCTGCAAGGAAAAAGCCTTAGTGCTCCCAGTTCGGTTATGGGGATGGGAACCAGGCTGGAGTGGGGACCACTGGAGGGCATGTCTGAGCCAGCACCGCTCCCTCTGCCGGGCCTCAGCATTCAGGTGCCGGTTTTCCAGCTGCGTGTGCAGCAGCACCTTTCTTAACAGGGGGCAAGTTTGAATGGCTCATGGGGTCCCATTTTGAGTGATTTGGCTCTGAATGCAGACAGTGATACGTGAGGGGAAATGTCAGAAGGACAAAAACAATGTGCTTGTCTGTCTCTGCCTATTAAGCCCCCCCTCCTGTTGGCTGCTATGCAGACACTGCAGTAATAAGTCATGTATCGTGCTCTGACCAGAGCAGGTACCTCTTGCTGCTCTCTCCAGCAACAAGCCAATACCCCAAGGAGGCTTAAATCAAGCAGACAAATTATCTTTCCACAACTGATTCTCCAGACTGGACTGTTCCTGGCTGAATGTGCTTAAACCCTCCTGTCCTGTGCCAGAGCCCGCCCTCTCTCCTTTGCTGGCTCGTTTTTCTTTCCTTTCCTGTGCTTTTGCTGCTTCCTTTTGCCCTCATTGCTGTACCTGCCAGGGTGGCTCTGGGCCTCCTGTCTCAGCACTGTAGGCTCCTTCTGTGTTTAAGTTATTCTCTTGCCTGTAAAAATGCCTCTTGTAGGGATGTGTCTGTAGAAGCCTCGTCCTGGTGAACATAGTCCCTAATCCTGCAGCCAGGCCCTCAGCTCTCTGGTAAGTGCTGAAGCATGAGATCTGATGCCCCATGCATGCTAGCTCTTCTCACCTCCTTGGTGGTTATGTGCCGCTCCAAGAGGTGCAGCTGAATACTGTCTCTAGGGCAGGGTACAGAATAGCTGCCCACTCGTTCTCCTCTATTGCTTTAGAGGTAAATATATCTGCTGTCAGAAAAGGGACAGGGAAAAGCAGTAGAAGGTTTACTCTGAATTATTTGTCACTTAGTGTTTGTTTGGAACTCTGTTAAGCTCTGTTTCCCAGGGGAGAAGGGAGGGTGCACAACACAGGACTCCAGGATCAGACACTTCTGGAGCACCTGAGAAAATGCCAGGTTTACTTCCAGGGAAATGGATCCTCTATTATCCCTTAACTACTGCATGTGAAGTAGGCTTAAAGAGTGCTTCAGCTGCAGAAACTTTTTTCCTCTGTTTGGGACAAAGTAGCTACTTAGGACATGGGTCTTGATGCCTATGGGACGTGTGGACAGAGGACTGCAAAGTACTGGAGGCTGGATGCCAGCAACTTAATGCTGCTGCAGCTGGTGCTGTGTGCAGATTTATAATTGTGGGGATTTGCATCTAACAAGAATCTGGACCCTGGCTGCAGGGAAGCAGACTGTGTTGTACTATCTGCAACAAGCTCAGAGAGGAAACAAACCCCCAACTCCCTCAGATTCTGGAGAAATGGCTGCCAATGAGAAATTCTGTGAACCTTTAAGCAAGGATAATCAGCAACCTGCCCCTCCTGCCTGCCTGCAGCTAGATGAAGCATCCAGTGAGGGACAGTGCCTGCCCACCTTTCTGCTTGCAACCCTGGTCCAGCACTGCTGAGGGATGAGAGCTCTTCTTGGTACATCTCATTGTTTCTCTTGTTGAAACAAATTTTTTTCTTGTGTTGTTCCCAACTCCCTCCTTGGGGTCTGGCCTTTCTCCCACTGACAGGCAGGCAGCCTTCCTTTCAGCCTTCCCTAGGTGCCAAGTCTACCCTTCAGCAGTCCCCAGGTTGCACCATGAGCCTGGCCATGTAAGATCCACCCAGATCAGCCCAGAGAGCAAGGGTTCTGAGGGACCTGCACATGTCAGAATAAAGCTTGCTCTCCTTGATTGGAAACAGGAAAGGAATGTAACAATCTTGTGCCTCCATTGGCTTTTTTCTGGGGTAAAAATCTTCTTTCCACATAAGGATCAGTCATCATTCCTTTCTCCTGGTAACTCAGCTAAAATAAGCAAATTCAGAGCTGTCTTGAGGTGAAATAATGAGACCTGAAATTAGTTGCTAGTCATTTGTTTCCAGGACCTGTCCTAAGGGACTTGACCCTTAGGCCCTCTTCCAAGTCCTTCTTTGAGTCCAGGAAGCTGAGGACTCAGCACTTGTATTTGTTTATTAGCGCTGAATACCTTCAATGGCTTGCTCATCAGCTAAATTCTTTGGTGGCTACAGGGAAGGGGTGTAACATGTCCTAACCATTGCTCTGACCGGATTTGCCAAGCACTGCAGTGGCTGCCTCCTTTTGGCT